AGACCAACATATCTCATACCATATGCCAAGATAAGGTCAAAATGGATACATGACTTAGATTGTTATTGCTGTTAGGGAGATGCCATAAGCAAACTAGGGGAGAGTGGAATTGTGTACTTGTCAGGTATATGAAGAAGGGAAGAATTTATGACCAAACAAGAGATAGAGAGGATCATGGGAGATAAAATGGCTAACCTTGATTACATGAAGTTAGAAAGCTTTTCCACAAACAAAACCAAAGCAGCCAAAATGAGAAGGAAAGCAGGAAACTAGGGGGAAATTTTATAGCGAGTTTCTCTGATAAAGGCCTCATTTCTCAAATCTATAGGGAACTGAGTCAAATTTATAAAAATAAAAGCCATTCCCCAATTGATTAATGATCAAAGGATCTGAACAGGCAGTTTTCAAAAGAAGAAATCAAAACTATCTACAGTCATATAAAAAATGCTCCAAATCACTAATAATTAGAGAAATACAAATTCAAACAACTCTGAGGTACCACCTCACATCCATCAGATTGGCTAACATGACAAAAAAGCAAAATGGCAGATGCTAGAGGGGATGTGAGAAAATTTGGACACTAATGCACAGTTGGTGGAATTATAAACTGATCCAACCATTCTGCAGAGCAGTTGGGAACTATCTCCAAAGGGCTAAGTGCAAACACTTTGACCCAGCAACACCCTACTAGGTCTGCATCCCAGAGAGATCAAAGAAAAGGGAAAAGGACCTAAATGCACAAAAAGATTTATAGCAACTCTTTTTGTGGTAGCAAAGAATTAGAAACTGCAAGGAAGCTCATCAATGGGACAATGACTGAACAAAGCTGTGGTATGTGAATGTGATGGAATACTATGGTGCTTGTAAAAAGTTATGAGAAGGCTGGTTTCAGAAAAAATCTGTGAAGACCTATATAAACTGATGCAAAGTGAAGTAACTAGAACCAGGAAAGCATTGTATACAATAACAGTGACATTGTAACAATAGTCAACTGTGAATGACTTAGCTACTCCGATCAATAAAATGATGCAAGGCAATTCCAAAAGACTCATGATGAAAAATGCTATCCACCCCCAGAGAGAGAACTCATGAAATCTAAGTGTGGATTGAAACATTTTTTTTTCATTTTCTTTACTTTTCTTGCTTTTTTTTAAGATGGCTAATATGTAAATATGTTTTACATTTTTTCACATGTACAATATGTATCATATTGCCTGCCTTCTCAATGGGTGGGGGAGAGGCTGGGAGGAAGGAGAGAATTTGGAACTCAAAATAAAAAAAAAAATGTTAAAAGTTTTTGGAAAAGATTTTTTTTTTGCTTTTTTAGTGAGGCAATCAGGGTTAAGCGACTTGCCTAGGGTCACACTGCTAGTAAGTGTCATGTGTCTGAGACTGGATTTGAACTCATGTCCTTCTGACTTCAAGACCAGAGCTCTACCCACTGCGCCACCTAGCTGCCCCTGGAAAAAATTTTTAAAAAGTAAATGGGAGGTGAGAAAGTAGAAGTTAACAAGTGTAGACAGCTTTTTTTTTCTAGGAGTTTGTCTGCGAAAGAAAAGAGATATAAGGGTTGATTGACTGAGGAAAGAGTGGCACCAAGGAAAGGTTTTTCCCAGGGATTGGGGAGATCTGGGCATGTCTGGAGGCAGCAAGGAAAGGAGACCATGGATAAAGAGGAGGGTGAACTTTGGAGAAAGAATAAGCTCCCCATGGGTACATGACCTGAAGATTCAAGCTCACACCCTAAAAAAAGGAAGAGAATCAGCTCAATTATCTTCCACAGCTGCAGTGAAGGGGAGAGTTCTTAATCACACAACAGAGAGAGATGAGCATAAAAGATAAAATATATTATTTTGATTGCATAGAACTATAAAAGTTTTTGTAAGCAACAGATTCAATGTAACTAAAACACAAAGGGAAACTGTTAGGGGAGGAAAATATTTTTGCATCAGCTGTAGGAAACACACACGTATCCATGCACACACTACTGAAGACCAGCATTTCCCAATGGATATGTCTTCTACCCATTGGTCAAAGGATATAGACCCAGTTCTCAAAAGAATACAAATTATTAACAATCATATGAAGAATACTACAAATCATTAATAAGAGAAATGTGAATCAAATCAACCCCATAATTTCACTTCACACCCACTCAATAAATTAGGAAGATGATAAAGGGTAGAATTAGTTGATATTAGGGTGCTGTGGAAAGAGGAGCACAGCAATACACTGTTGGTGGAGCTGTTCGTTCCAGAAATGGAAAGAAATTTTTAACTAGTCAATAAAGTGAGTAAAATATTCATATCACTTGACTCAGAGATCCTACTCACTTCTAGGCATGTGCTGAGAGAGAGACAGAGACAGAGAGACAGAGACAGACAGAGAAACAGAGAGAGAGAGAGGAGAGAGGAAAAAGGGAGGAGGGATTGAAGGGAGGTCTCGTTTACAACAAAATATCCTTAGCAAGACTTCTTGCTGTAACATAAAAATGGAAACAAAGTTGGCCCCCATTGATCGAGGATGCAGAACAAGTTGTGGTCCGTGAAAATAATGTAGTGTTACTTGACCATAAGAAATACTGAATATGAAGAATTCAGAGAAGCCAGAGAAAATCTACATGAATGGATACAGAGTGAAGGAAGCAAAACCTGAAGAACAACACACACAAATTAAATGAACAATTCAACAACTGCTGCTGAGAAAATGTCATTTCTGCTCTCTCCAGCTCCTCCCCCCTTCCCTGAGGCAGGGGCTGTGCTTAAGGAACACTATCAAGGCAAGGTCTGAGGGTCAATTTGGCTGAATTGCTCTCCACCTCTCCTATTTTTTTGGGGGGGGGGGTCTTTGTTATAAGGGATGGCTTTCTAGGGAGGGGAGGCTGAAGGTGATCTCTGAATCTCGTTATTTGAAAATAATGTTGATCTCAGAACAAAAGATCGATAAAAACTAAAAATAACAATAAAGAAGATGAGGGAATGTGAGGCAGTGACAGGAGGGGAAGCTTCTAGAGAAGATGGGCAGGGATGAGCTGACCCAAGAGAATGACTGCCTCCTCCACTGAGCCTGGAGCAGAAGAGAATGAGGGCATGAGGCTGGAATTCAGGAGAAGAGGGAGGCTGCCATTCTCACCTCCATTTCTTCAAAGGAGGTGAGGTCAATGGGCACAGACAGAGATGTGGTGATAGACGAGTTTTGGAACAGACGGTTTGGGCCAGCAGAAAGTAAGAGGATTGACCTATGCCAGGGAGGACCAAGCGGACATAAAGCTGAGGTTTGGTACAAGGACCATGGAGAGTGTCCTGTTGAACTGGTTAACTAAAGTGAGGCCAGACCAGCCGGACACAGCCCAATGAGGCAGAGAGCATGGAGAGTCTGGAGGTTAGAAAGGGTAAGGCCCAGGGAGAATGGAGGGACAGGAGACTGTAATTACACAGAAGAAGGTCAATGCTCTGGAAGGACACAAGAGAGATGGAGGTCTAGTTCAAAGGTGTGACCATCCCTGTGGACTGCTGGAGGTTGATGGACTGAGGAACAGTGAATGAGGGGACATCACCATGTACGCTGACAGCCCCAACAGAAGGGCAGTGGCTGGGGTGGACAGGGAGTCTGGGAGCATAACCAAAGGGTCAGCTGACAACAACTACTAGGGTCTGGAAGGCTGGTTGGAGCAAAGCTGGGAGTGGGGTCATAGAGTGAAGGGAAGTTGCCATTGCCCCCAGGACCGGCCCAGTGTACAAGTGGGGGGTGGGAAGGAGAGAAAGCAATCTTCATACTAAAGAGCATGGGCCAGGGGACAGAGTCATACGGGAGGCAAAGGGTCAGAGAGAAGCCTAGCTTGTCAGAGACCAAGGGTCTGTCCCACAGGGAGGACAGGGTTGAGGGAATGGGTGTGAGGGAGGTTCAGTTCAAGCAGCTTAACTGGATCCTCAGGAATTCTAAGGGGAACCAGATTGGATTGGATTATTTTTCCCTATTTTCCTTATTTCCTGACCAAGATTAGGGGTGTGTGTGTGTGTGTGTGTGTGTGTGTGTGTGTGTGTGTGTGAGAGAGAGAGAGAGAGAGAGAGAGAGAGAGAGAGAGAGTGAGTGAGTGTCAGGACAAATGACAAGATCACCCATATAAGAAATCACCTGAAAAATGCAATAACAGAAATAACCTATCTCCGGTTCTAAGACCTTGTGACTATGGGAGCTGGTCGGGACAGAGTCAGGGTTATAATCACCAAGCTCCCCGGACTGAAATGGCAGAGGGAAACCCTACAGTCAGGTTGGCTGTAATACCAGGCCTGCTCCCTCAAGTGCCCCAGCCTCCTAAAGCTTCCAGGACGAGATCAGCCACTACTCCCAAGAGTTTGGCGTAACCATCCACACAGGAAAGACCAAATGGATAAAGGATGTCGACCTTCTGCATTATAATTCTGAGTTATCTTAGGAAACATGCTTAACATATGAAGGAGTAACAGTCTTCTTAGGTGTTCCATGGGCCACACATAGTGGGCACCTCTCTGCAAACCCAAGCAAAGGAAAAACTGAGCCTCGGGCAAACCTAGCGCAAGCCTTGTGCAGATGAAGTAAAGGAGCCCTCCCGGAGTGCAGACGGCAAGTCCAGGGGACAGGGCAGGCCCGCTGAAGTGGGTGCCAGCAGGAGGCATGGGAGGGCTCCGAGGGAGACTCCCCAAGACCCACTGGCTCCTGACTTTACACTGCAGCGTCAGAAAGGAAGAGAAGGGGGGAAAGAAAGCTGGTCACAGCAGCTGTAGCTCTGGAACGCGGGGGGAGGGGGGGGGAGCGGCTCATATTTTCCATCACTCGTGGGTGCCACGGGGAGGGGGAGGGGGGGAGGGTGCCCGGGGCACAGGCCTGGGAAAAGAGAGGGTGGGGCAGGAAGATGGAGACCCCTCCCGGGGAGGGCCCACGCGGGACACCGCCCGGCCGCTCATCTTCCCCACACACCCCACCCCGTCCTGCGCTGGCGATCCTGGGGGTCGCGGACGCACCTGTTAGCAACAGCAGGGCTGCGGCGGCGGCGGGGCTCCTGCCCACGCAGGGTCCCCCCCCTGCTCCTCCGGGCGCCCGCAGCATCTCTCTCCCGTCTCGGGCTCGGGCTCGGTCCAGCCTCCTCACTCCATTCGGCCTCGCTCGGCCCCGCCCGGTCGGGCCGGCCTTGCTCTCTGCCTCCCCCTGGCGGCCGCCCCGGACGCTGCAGGGCCCCGGCCCGCCCGCCCCACCCCCACCAGCCGCCTCTGCGGCAGCCGCGGCCCCGGGCGGGCGGGGGAGGAGCGGAGCTGCCGCGCCTGCGCGCTAGCTTTCTTCTAGCCCGCCCCGCGCTCTGCTCTGCCCAGACGGAGTTGAGTCTCGCCTCGTGCAGTCGCTTCTCCCGACGCTCCCGCTGCCTTCGCCCCCCGGACTCCCCAGCCGCTCGCCCGCCCGCTCCCACCGGCGCCTCCCCGGGGGCCGGACCGGCGCCAGCCTCGAGCCGCCACCGCAGGCTGTCCGAGAGCCGGGAGTCCGGTAAGGTGGTGCCCGCCTCGGAGCAGGGCAGCCCCCCAGGCGCCGGCCCCCCCAGCCAGAGGACCCCCCCCCCCAGCCTCCGTGGCCGGCTGCCGCAGCCCCCACACCTGCATTTTTTCATTCACTCAAAGGGCAGAGATTTGACGCCTCCTGCGTCAGGGCTGGTGGGTGGTCTAGGGGGGCTCAGTCCCTGCAGGGTGGAAGGGGCGGACGTCCAGAAGATCCCGAAAGATACAAAGTAACTTTGCAAGGGGAGGACGGCTCCTCGAGCTGAGCCTGGAAAAAAGCTAGGCGAGAAAAGAGAGAGGGTGGGAGACGGGGAGGGAGGCAGGGAGGCAGGGAGGCTGTCAGGACAAAGGTGGGGGGGGGGGGCGTGTTAGGCTTTGCAGTGTCCAGAATGGGAAACCGCAAGAAGGCTCTTTGACCGAAAGGTAGATGAACAGCCTGCTTTTGAGGGGCTTTCAAAGCCCGATCAGACATTGGTCTCAATGGAAGGGGCGATAGAAAGCCCCTGGAGCTGGGAGGGGGGCTGGGGGGGGGGGTTGAACACGTAAGACCTGTGCCTCACTTGGGCAGCTGTGTGGAAGACTGGGGGGAGACTGAGCGCATTGCGGTAGACCAGGTGAGTGATGGGGAGAGGGGCAGGTGAGTGATGGGGAGAGGGGCAGGTGAGTGATGGGGAGAGGGGCAGGTGAGTGATGGGGAGAGGGGCAGGTGAGTGGTGAAAATGCGGAGAACAGATAGGAGAGAGGTGGGAGGGGGAAATAACCAGACGTGAAAACAGATGGAAGAAAAGTCTCATCAGCCGGATTATACACCTGGAAGGGAGGTGTGAAGCCCCCCGGGAAAGTACAGAAAAGGGGAAAGGGCTGGAGGTGGGCATGAGAATGAATGCTCTTAGGCGGCTGCTGATGCAGATTCGGGCTGGCTTTACTGATCTGAAGGTCATCGGCTTAATAGCTGGACCTTTGGGAGCTGGGGAGATCCTGGGAAAAGGGTGTAGATTTAAGAAGGGTCCGAGACAGAGCCCTGAGGGGCATCTAGCTTGGGGGTGGGGGTGGGAGAGAGAAATTGGAACTGCGTCGAAAATCTGGGTGGAAAAGCTGCAGCAGACAGGTGGGCGGGACCCCGCCAGGAGGGGAGGGGGTGGTCTGCAGAGCAAATACCGCATAGACCAGGAAGTGCGGAGCCAGAAAAGGCGCTCGGACTTGGCTGTTCCAGATTGGAGGAGGGGGAGAGGGAGAGGGGGGTGGGCGGGCTCCAAGTGGTGCATTGGCGTCACAGGAGGGTTCGCCAATGCGGCTTTGCGGTAGCTCGTGCTTCACCGCCGTGGCCTCAGTTTCCTCTTCTGTAAAATGAGGGGGATTTAGCTGATCGCTAAGGCTCCGACTAGCCCTAAATCTATGGGGAAAGGTTTGGAAGAAGCCATGCGGGCACAGGTAATTAGGTAAGAAGAAATGGTTCAGTGGCAGAGGCGGCGGCAGACCGCCTCCCCCTCCCTTGGGTGCTCTGTGCCGCACTAGGGAGGGGCATCGCCTCTGACGGCTGAGGACTAGCCCCGCCCTCTGCCCCCCCCAGAGCAGCCCCCTCCCTTTCTTTTTCCCTCCCCCCTCCCTGCGGACCATTGTGCAGATGCGGAAACGTCCAATGCGGACCCTAGTTCTCCCCCCCTTCTAGCCCCGCCTCACCTCTGCCCGCCTCTGGGGAGCTCACAGCTACTGCGGCCCAGTCCCCTCCCCTCAATACCGCAGTGCCCCCCCCCCCGCAGCCTGCCCACTTCCGCCTTGGACCCCTGAGCCGCAGTGCCCATCCCTTTCTCCTAGCCCGAGAAGGAGGGGTCCATGCCCCGCCCCCTCCTCTGCAGTCTGCCATCCTTGGACCACCGCAGGGGAGGAGCAAAGGCTGCGGGATGGAGATGGGGAGACAGATACCCCGGAAGTGGGCTGGCCCCTGGCTCTGCGGACCCCACCCGATTTCTGCAGCAGACCGCCTGCTGCGCCATCACCAGCCTGGTCCCGCCCCCCAAACCGGCCAACCACCAAGACCCCCGTGTAGCCACGCCAGCTCTGCCTCCGCTAAGCGTAGGGACTGCAGGCAGACGCAGGGCGCCCCCTCCCCTCCGCACTCACTGCAGTCCAGCAGCCCCTCCCTGCAGCTACTGAGGTTGCCCAGCGCCGTCCTCTACTGGAAGCAGGCACTGAAGAGCAGCCTAGCTCCTACCTGTCGGCACTGCAGCCCCCCCACCCCACCCCACCCCATACACACATACTTCGGCTACCCCTCCCAAGCTGGTCCAGCCACAAGACCCCCACCCTTAAAATTAGGCTTTACCGCTGGTTAACGCAGAACAATCTCAAGCCCCCGCCTCGTTACTAGAGCCCTCCCTTACAACCTCGCCTTTATGGTGGCTACTGGCTCTAATCTCAAGCCCCCTCCCCATTACTAGAGGCCCCTCCCTTACAACCTCACCTTTACGGTGGTTCCTGGATCCAATCTCAAGCCCCCTCCTCATCACTAGAGTTCAGCCCCCTCCTCCATACACCTTTATCTCTACCCTGGTTTCTGTATTCTAGCTTCAAGCTTCCTTCGTATCTCCATAGATATAGGCCGGGGTCTCTACCCCCCCCAAAATAATCCCCTCAACCTTCCTTCAAAACCCCCTAAAAACAAATAAAACCTAGATTGTAACCTGGTTAAAAGAACCCAGCCTTTAACCCTTCTCAGGTGTACCCCAACCCCCACCCCCACGTGCCCCTTCACACTGCAGTCTCCTAGCCTCAGAGCCCCTTTAGAGTCACCTCCTGCCCCTGCATATTTCCTTCATTGCTGCAGCCCCGTAGACTCAAACCCCCTCTCCATTTGTTCGTATTTTAGCCCCTCCAAACAGCCCAAGCTTATTAGTACCTCTAGGGTTAGGGTTATCCAAGACCACACCCCCATCTCTTAATATTCTGTACCCTCAAGTCGCCCCTCAATACTGCAGTCCTCTAAGACTGAGCCTCCTCCTGTCTCAAGAGAGCAGAGCCCCCACCGCTACATTGTCCCCTCATTACTATGGTCCCTAATCTCTGAACCAGTCCCCTAGCCCCCCCCAACCTGCACCTTTTTCTACAGTCCTGGAGTTTCAAAACCCTAGCCCTATTTTTAAAAATATTTCAGCCCCTCCTGATCATACAATTTCAAACTGCCTCCCCCTCTTTTTATGATCCAGCCCGCCTCCCAAGGACCTTCAATGCTGCAGTCTCCTCCTGCTGTACCCCCCACTCATTAGTACATGTAGTCTCAACTCCCCTGCCCATTTTTTGTTTTAGCTCCATGTCACAACGTACCCCCATTACTAGAGTCTGGTAGACTCAAACACCCTCCCCATTGATTTAAAGTCTACACACCCCCCCCAACTATCATTGCTAACAGCCTCTCTTCATCTCTTTATCATTTGATCCCCTACAACCTACCCCCATTACTACAATCCTACAGCCTCAAACCTCTTCCCCATCTCTTTAGAATCTAGCCCAGCCCACCCAGCAGTACTACAAGCCTGGAGGGTTAGGATTCTTAAAGTCCTGCTGCCATCTCTTAACATATGCCTCCTCCCACAACCTGCCCTCTTTACTGTTGTCATCTTGCCTCAGAACCCCTCCCCATCCCTTTATAGTCCAGCTCCACCTCTCCCCTCAACACTACAGCTCACTGGCCTCAAACTCTACCTCATCTCTTTAGAGTGGACCCCAAACCCGACTCCCATTGCTAGACTCCCATTCTCTAGCCCACAACCTCCTCCCCATCACTTTAGAGACAACCCTCCCCGCCTCCTCCCCTGACTGCTACCTCTCTAGCCTCAACCCCCCATCCCTTTAAATTGCAGCCCCCACTTCCCCATCCCTCATTACTATTGTCCTCTATCCTTGAACCCCCTCCTTGCCCATTTATCATCTACGCCCCCATTCCTCCCCTCATTACAACACTCCTCTAATCTCAACACCCCCCATTTTTGAATATTTGAACCTCTCCTGACAATACCCTCATTACTACAGGCCTCTAGGGTTAGGGTTCTCAAAGCATTGCCCCCATCTCTTAGCATGTTACCCCCTCCCACAATCTCCCCTCATTACTTTTAGCATGCATCCAGCACTCTCCCCATCTCCTTATGATCTAGGCCCTCAAAAGCTACTCCCCATTACTACAGGTCTCTAATCTCAGACACCTGCATTTAAGATTTTAGCTCCCCCTGACTAGCATCACCTCCCCTCATCTCTTAATATTCTGCCATCCCCCCATCCTCCCCACAGTACTGGGGTCCTGCAGACTCAAAGCTCCCCCATCTGTTTGCAGTCTACACCTCCCAACTCTTTGCTATAAATCTCTAGCCACCAATCCTCTCCCCATCTTTTTACTATCAAGCCCCCCCCAACTTACCTCCATTTACTTCAGTCTTATAGCTGGAAACCCCTCCCCACAACCTACCCTCATTACAAGAAATCCCTAGGGTTAGGGTTAGGGTTAGGGTTAGGGTATATCCTCCCCTCATTACCACACTCCTTTAATCTCAAATTCCCTCACCATTTTGGGGTACTTTAGCCACTCCTTACAATCTAGTTCATTACTGCAGGCCTCCCACATCAACACCTCCCCCCTCCCATATCCCCAGTACTGCTGCTCTTTTGTTTCAAAGCCCCTCCCCATTTCTTTTTTATCTCTCCCAGCCTTACATCAACCCTCAATGGGTCTTCTGGCCTCAAGCCCTCTCCCCTTCTCTTTACAATCCAGCCACCCCCATAGCTTGCTTTCGTTATTACAGGGTTCTAATATCAAACTCTAATCTAGCCCTGCAACCTGCCCTCATCAATATAGTTTTCTATCCTCAAACTCCCTCCCGATTTATTATCTAGCCCCCCCAACCTATCCTAATTACTATGGTTATATAGAATCAACCCCTCCCCATCCTCATTAAAATTTAGCCCCCCCACAAACCACCCCCATTGCTATAGTTTCCTATCCTCAAGCCCACCCCGTCTCTTTATAATCCAGCCTTCCTCCCCACCTCCTCCTCTCAATACTAGTCAATCTCACACCCCCTGCCTATTTTTTTTTAATATTTCAGCCCCTCCACAACCTGCAGATCTCTAGAATCACCCCTCCCATCTTTTAATATTCTGACATCACTCCCACAGCTTGC